CAAAGACCGCAGTCAAATCCGTCGTCACAATTTTACTTCCCTCCTCTCCCCGCCCAAAAAAAGACAAACCACAGCTTTTTCAATTTTCGCTGGTACTTTGCAGGTGTTACAATTCGTTGGCTGATCAGCTCTGTCCCTTCATGCCCCTTCCTCTCGCTCCACTTCATGCTCGCAGCATTTGAAGGTGGAAATGAGAACTTGCGTTCAAGTTAAATACTCGGTCTTGTAGCAGCAGAAATATAATAGCAAACGAATGTCTGGAATTACAACAGCACAAACACAGAAAGTAATTTTCATTTTAAATCCCCATTTTTTGGCAATTTTCACTAAAATCTAGAGGTCATTCAAATGGATGACAGCTCAGAACAATACTACGTTTACCTTGAGAAAAGATGCAGTGGGTCCCCCAATTGGAACCATGATGCGCAAATTGTCTAACAAATGCTAGCGACTATCTGATTACGTCATTTGAACTGCATACCCTCACGACAACAAAACTCACCGAAAAAAGTACTTAAGTAAATGCGCAAACATTGTCGTACGCGTCACCGCGCATACTTTGTGAGTAAAAGGTAAACAACCCTTTTCTCTATCTAGGGGGTAAACAATCTTTTTCTCAATAATCAGTAGCCAAGCTTGGAGTTGTGAACGCGGCGGAGGTAAGCTCCTATAACAATAAAAGAGATTACCAAAACTGGGCTAATTCCTCCCTTATAGAAATAGGTTTTTGGCATAGATAACTGTCTTGACAAGCCCGCACGTCCATTTATAGGAAGAATTCATTTGATATGGACACTTGAACTGTCTGTTTAAATACTAGTCAACAGATTCAGCTCAATAAGGTATTCTCCAAGCGGCATCCATATGGTTAATTCGCACCGAGTGTACAACTCTATATTCTCGCCCATATTGTAGCTTCCGGGAAATTGCAAAATCCTATGATCACACAAGTATAAGTATGATTAGTTTATTTCTATACAATGTACATGTTCATGAAGTGGAAGCTCACAAGCAAGATATTACCTTACATAGATCATGCAACATAGTGGTAAAGCTTGAGATCGTGAGCATCCCGCGCCAAATAATCTCTTTCGATCAAAGACTCTATTCTCTTCTTGATCAAAATTGGATTCGGTAAGAACCGATACTTTAGCTGCTGCGTCACCTATAACATCAGATAAGGGTGATTGCACCTTATTTGGCTAACAAAAAAAGCATCTTACCTCCGTGATGAGGTTGTTGTGATCGAGCACTTTTCTCGACTTCATGACGCGAACAATAGCAGCTTCAACTTCAGGTTTTCTGTCATCCTCCACCTATAAATAAACACGCTTAACAATAATAATAAACCTCGATTAAATGCTGGAAAAAAGAAATTACCTTAGACCTGGTCTCCTTCTTTTCTGGTTCCGACTCGCCCTTAGATGTCACCAGTTGGACCTTGATACGGGTCAACTTGGATTGGAAGTTGTCGTTAACCGAGAACTCGTCTGTGGCATCTGTACAAAAAGGTAAAATTCACACAATATTTACAGAGATTCCTTACAAAATAAAAAAAAAACACTGAAACCTTCCAACAACAATGATGTAAAACAAGAGGAAATAGAATCTGGAAAAAAACTTACCTATGTCCTTCCCCTTCCCTTTTCTGCACAGGACACGCTGAGTAGGTTTGCCCATTGCCAATGATTGCAAGTTTCGCTTCAACTCCC